GGTCGCCTCCCAGTCCTACGACCCTTCGCCCTCTTGCTGTAGTACTCGGTAGTCGTAGCTGGCCCGGTCTCTGGCCCCATCCAGTGGATCTGGGTGAGGGCAGGCGGAGCCGGCGGCAGGTACCTCTCGGCAGCTGCATCGCCAGGGTCTCGCCGGCGGCACTTGAAGCACCGCGCCAGTAGACCAATCAGCCAGAGGGCAGCCGCACATGGGGCCAGTAGAGTACGACAGATATGGGTAAGGAAGGCGAGCACCGCCAGGGAGGCCAGGAAGATGAACGTCCACGCCACGGCCGGCCATGCGGCTCCGAAGACCGCTAGGCCCAGCTTCTCAAGGGCATAGAAGAACCAGCCGCCGTCCTTGGTCAGCCAGCCCGTCTCGGCATGGGTGGAGAAGGCGCTCCCGAGGCTGTCCAGCTTCTCGTAGGCGACCCCGCCCATGCCACTCAGGCGCCAGGCCCAGGTGCCTTCGCTCAGGGGCCTCCACCCCAGCGCCCAGACACCCCAGCCGCCCACCCAGGACTCCTCACCACGCGGGTCGTCGGTGGGGTGGCTGCCGTTGTCGACTCCTCCGGCGGCGTGGACGGGAGGCGGGGGCGGCGCCCCCGGCGGCCCACTGTCGGGCGGCGCCTGGGGGCTGCCTGCGGCCCCGCCTCCCTCCTCGTGCTCGTCGATCTCCATGCCGTACTCGGAGTCATCGTAGTACGGCACGGTGTGCCCGAACGGGACCTCGCGGGCCTCGGCCGGGCTGCCCCACCCAGCACGGGCGACGGCTGTGCTGAGCGGCCCGCGCCAGTCGTAGGCGGTCACGCCGGTGGCCAGCGCGATCAGTCCGCGTGCGGAGCCCGCCAGCGCAGGGCGCCAGGCGGCCATGGCGCGCGCGTTTCCGGGCGCCCGAGGGCGCCCAGACCTCCTGAGGTCGGCCCCAAGGCTTTGAGCCCCGAAGGCTTGAGCGGGAGAGAGGGAGAGAGAGGAGCAGGCAGAGGCAGGAGCAGGGAAAAGAGGAAACCCAAGCCGACTGTGGAAGGCGGGGTCCAACCGTTTAGGACAAACAACTAATATTACACGCCGGTCGTTGGTTAGTAGGTATTCTTGGATTCCCAGATCCCAATCTACTTCTAGCGCCTCCCTACTTCAAGAGTCGGCATGGTCTTGATGTGTGTGTGTGTTATTTTCTGGGAGGGTCTGGAACCAATCTACTTTATCCGCCTTCCTACTCGATGTTTTTACCTACTTCTTCCGACCGGCGAGTACCGTAGAGCGCAATCGGCTTCATGCGGCTCTGGGTCATCGTGGCACGTTGCCGTTCCGCGCTTCGCCACGGCGCCCAACCTACTTAGAACTTGCGGCGCGCCATTGTTCAGATCCTTTGAGCGCGTGGGCCACCTTCGGTCAGGAAGCGGAGAAGAAAGAGGATGAGGAGGATGTGGAATACCAGGGGGAGAGGGGCGACAACTCGGCGGCGGGGGAGGAGGAGGTGCAGGAGTGGTGGAGGATAGTGAGGGGGAGTCCAAGGAGGACGGGGAGGAGGGTGGCGTTTACGTAGCCAAGCCAGATACAGCGCACTACCTCGAGATCTTAGTAGTCGACCGCTGCGGTAGATGACGGAAAGCGCGCGTAGTGTCGCGAGCCGTTAGGCGGGAGAAATAAAAAGTGTGTGTGTGTGTGTGTGTGTGTGTGTGTGTGTGTGTGTGTGTGTGGGGGGGGGGGGCAAAACGGGGCGTGGATCTAATGGCCCAAGTTTTGGAAGTGTTCGGCCCAATATTGCCCAAGTCAGCCCCAATAGCGCCCCAGAGAGCACGGCAGAGCAAGCAGGAACACGGCAGACCGCGCAGGAAATCGGCAGACCATAGGAACACGGCAGACCACAGGAGCACGGCAGACCACGCAGGAGCGCGGCAGACCGCACATTAGCACGGCATATCACATGATCACGGCAGACCCCACATGAGCACGGCCGAGCACGTTGGAGCACGGCAGACCCCGCAGGAGCACGGCAGACCATGCAGGAACATGGCAAACCATACAGGAGCACGGTTGACCCCACAGGAACACGGCAGACCACGCAGGGGCACGGCAACTCACACAGGAGCACGGCGACCACACAGGAGCATGGTAGACCACGCGGGAAGACGGCAAACCACACAGGAACACGGCAGAGCACAGGAGCACGGCAGACCACACGAGCGCAGCATACCACACAAGAGCATCGATTGGAGCGGGCCGCGGGCTCTGTCAGAGGCGGTGAGCAGGTTCCCGCCGCCTCGTTGTCGAGACCAGCCGAGGAAGCTGTTCGCACGCGGCATGCTTTCTTCGATCTCGTGCAGGTGCTCCAGCGGCAGGCCAGCGCGCCCTTGCGCCTCAGCGACGCCTCATTCGGGCTTCTGCGGGCCATGGGCACTGTCGAGGCCGTCCACGCGGTCACGCAGCTGTTCGTGTTCCATCAGCAGGGTTCGGCCGCAGACCTTTGGATAAAGAGTGTCGCCGCTTCCATGGAATTGCTTTGAGGCCGTTGTAGCGCGTTGCGTGTCCTCTCGTGTATGCTCTAGCCAGGCCTCCTGTCCCTGTCAGTGTGCACGTTTGTGACTCGCCTGTTTTTTCTGGCCATGCTGGCCCTCGGGCTGCTGGGCGGAGTCAGCCTACATGGATGCGTTGCTGGAGGCGCTTGCGGGCTCGGAGGCGGACGACCACAAGCACAAGCAGTAGCTCGAGGAGTCGGAGCTCGGGCAGGACGGCGTTGCCCAAACGGTTGACGTTGCAGTGCGCGCGGATGCCGAAGGGATGGCTGCCCGCCCTTGGGTGCTCCTAGCGCGCGGTCCGCTGGACCAGGCGCGGCCCGAAGGGGGGGCGCTGGATAGCGGTGTTGCAGGCGCGGTCGCACCGCCGCCGCTGGTGTCCGAGGCTCAGGTGTCTGAGGTGTTCGCGTTCGACGGCGACGAGCGCAGCGTTTCGGGGACTGTCGGCGCGGGCGCTGCGAGGGTGCCGCTTGTAGTTGCGGCCTCGGACGACGGCGCGATGGCGGCCGATGTGGAGTTTCAGGATGAGGAATCGGGGGGCGTCGAGTGCGTGCCCAGGCAGGCCCGCTTGGGAGACAGTCGTCTACGTCGTGGATTTGCGTCGAGGCCCGCTGACTCTGCTACTACGCCGACGATGTCTGGGACCCTCCTCGCCTTGCGGATGTCTAGGACGTGAGGGGCAGTCTGGAGGCCGAGGCGTTCGGCCTGACCCCCAGCGTCGTGCTGCCTTACAGGCGGGAGTTGTTCCCTGAACGCGTTGAGGCTGCTGGGCCCCTGGGGCAGGACGTGACGATTCGAAGGTGGGGGGAACTGCAGGCGTTGTTGGACTCTTTCGCCAGCTATTAGCGAGTGCCCACCTCAGGAGGCTACCCACGCACGCTTTTTGTTGCAGTCCTGTGTGTGTTTGGTTGTTTGTGCAGAGGGGAACTCATGTTCATGCCAATGTCGTGTGAGTTGTTCCTGTCTTTGAAAGTGTCTTTGAGCATTGACAATGCAGTCGAGCGCTCGCTGGGATTCCTTGTGGGCCCCGATCGTGATGCCTTTCGGCTGGCCGCCCGGAGTCGGGGTGCGGCCCTGCGGCCTCCCCCCGTTTTCCGTTTCCTTTTGCTCTCTGGTTTTAAACCGCCGACACCCCACCATGCAAGAACATCGTTGGTCATAGGAGCGCGGCAGACCGCGGGAACACGGCAGACCACAGGAACGCGGCAGAGCACAGGAACACGGCAGACCCCATAGGAGCACGGCTGACCACGCGGGATCAGTGCAGACCACGTGGGCACGACAGACCACGCATGGGCACAGCACGCCGAGTAGGAGCAACACCGACCCCGCGGGAACACGGCAGATTGCACAGGAACGCGGCAGACTCCACAGGAGCGCCGCGGTCCACGGCAGGAGCGCTGCAGACCATGGGAGCTCGGCAAAGCGCAGGAGCACGGCAGATCACAGGATCACGGCGGAGTTCACGAGCGCGGCAGACCCCGCGGGAGCACGGCAGACAGCGCAGGAGCACTGCGCAGACATCAGGAGCACGGTCGACCACAGGAACATGGCAGACCACAGGGGCACGGTAGTTCGCGGGGGCATGGCAGACCGTGCAGGAGTTCGGCAGACCACGCAAGATCACGACAGAGCACAGGATCACAGCACACCACGTCGCAGGTGCACGGCAGACCGCGCAAGAGCACGGCATACCACACAGGAGCACGGCACACCACAGGAGCATGGACAACCACAAAAGCACGGCTGACCTCGCGAAGCACGGCAGGCCGCCAACACATAGCAGTACACACAGGAATATGGCCGACCACATGAGCACGGCAGACAACACAGGTGCACGGCAGATTTTGCAGGAGCACGGTTGACCACCAGATTGCATTTGCTACCATGGTATGGTTTAGTTGTTGGAGCTGTTGAAAAGTGGGTACCCCATGTGTACCCATGTGCTGGTCCTCATCCATCCTTTCCGCGTCCTCGCGCTTCTCGTCCTACTCGTTGTCCTTCTGCCCCCCTCGCTGCGCTCCCCGTGGTCCATGCTGCCATCCTGGACATCGGCCGCCTTGTCGTCGCCATCATCCTTTTCTTCTTGACCTGTCACGGGCCCAATGGACACACTCGGCGCTTCCCGCTCTTGTCCGATTAGGTTAGCGGAAACATGTGAAGTCCGCGTCATCGTGTGCCCCCCTCCCATCGGAAAGGGGGGCGGGAACGGTAAAACGAGAAAGGGGCGGAAAAGGTGAAGCGAGTGAGTGAATGGGGAGACGGGATGGCGGGGAGGGTGCAATGGGCGTGGTTGGGCTGTGACATGCAAGTGACGGATCAATTCGTATCACTTTTCTTCAGGTCATTGTCGTGGTCATTGTGATTGGTGGTGGTGGTTGTCGTAGTGCCGTCGTCGTCGTCTTCGTTGTCGTCATCGTTGCTTTTATCCTTCTCGCTGCCGCCTGGACCGTCGAACGGGTTTGGGGATGTCCTCCGCGCCGCAAGATTTGGCCAGACGGCGCTGAGTACGAAGGCTGGCGGCACCGTTGCGAATCCGTATTTCTTTCGCATGTTGTGGAGCTTCGCACATGTCGTCAACTCGTACCTTCTCGTTTCTCCCCATCTGCCCGTCCAGGCACGATTCCTAGCCGAGTTGTCAGGGGATATGGGGAGGTCTGGAAACGAAACCTGATGCATGAAGAGGGGCACGGGGCAACATAAAAAAGGTGTCATCCAACCAGCAGCCTTGAGACACTCGTTGTCGCTGCCATTCGCGTGGTGGCGGCCCTGACTTTTTGTTTTGTATCGAAGACGCCTACTACGAGTCACCGCCACCCCCTGTCTTTCAGGATACACCTGTGCGGCCGAACGTGTGGGCGAAATTTGGCCACGCTATTGGACTACGCCTTCCCCCAGCTGTTGTGGACGCCTTTCGGGGAACACGTGGGGGAGGAAGGGAGGAACAATGATGGTGAGGAGAAGGATGAGGAGAGACCTCTTGGGAGCTTCTTGGGTCACTCTCGGGGCCTTCTGGGAGCTTCGGGGTGCCTCTTGGAGGCCTCTTGGGGACTTCCTTGGGCATGTTGATGGCATTTGTGGGCTTCTTGGGGGCCCCTGTGGCCGTCCTACGGCGTTCCTGGCCCGTCTGACGCCGTCGGAAGCCATCTTGGGAGTCTCTCTGGGCCTTCTTGGGGCCTTCTTGGGGCGCTTCAGGGTCGGCTTGAAGGCCATCTTGGGCGTCTTGGAGGCCTCTTGTGCAGTCTTGATGCCCTTTGGGGGCCGTCTTGAGAGGCTGTGGGGCCGTTTTGGGACACCTTGGAGGCCCCTTGGGCGACCTTGGCGCAAGTTTGGGGACCTCTTGGGCCGCCTTTGGCCGTCGGAAAGCCAAAAAGAAGGAAATGCCCACATTCTTCAAAAACCGAAGGCGAATCATTGATTTTGACCTCTTCAGGTTTTCCTGGAGGACCGCTTGGAGGCCTCTTGGGCCGTCTTAGAGACCTCTTGGGGGCCTCTTTAGATGTCTTGGGCCGCCTTGAGGGCATCTTGGGTGCATCTTGGGCCGTCTTAGAAGCACCTTGCGGCCATCTTGGGCTCTGCTGGGGCCATCTTGGCCGTCTTGGAAGCATCGGGGAAGTCATCTTGGGCCATTTTGGCCGTCTTGGAAGCCATCTTGGGCCCTCCTGGAGCGGGAAATGCATTGCCCAGTAGATTTTGAGAGCTTTCCGGGTGGCCGGCAGGTTGGGTCGAAGCCCCAGGGGGAGTTTAAGACACCAACAACAGCCACACATTCAGCATGCCAGGCACCTTTTTGATAAATCAACAGGGGGCGGCGGATCTAAGACGCCTACGGCGAATCACCGCCGCCCCCTGCCTTTTTGGAAGCGCCTATGTGGCCGAACGTTGAGGCCAGACCTGCCAAGCTATCGGAACATGTGTTCCCCGAATCGGTTTGGAAAGCATTCGGGGAACACGTGGGCATCTTGAAGGTCATCTTGGCCGTCTGGAGGCCATTTTGACTCTTTCGGGCCTTCTTGGAGGACGTCTTGGAGGGCTCTTGGGCCGTCTTGGAGGCCATCTTGAGCGTCTTGGAGACCTCTTGGGCCGTCTTGGGGGCCTCTTGGGGCCGTGTCTTGGGCCTCTTGGGCGATCTTTGGGGGCACTTGGGCCGTCTCGGGCAGTCAGAAGGCAGAACAAAAAGCAAATGCCACAATCCTTCAAGAACACATGTGAAATCAATGATCTTGGCCTTTTCGGGCCTTCCTGGAGGCCCTCTTGGAGGCCTCTTGGGCCGTCTTGGGCCATCTTAGGGCCATGTTTGGCCGTCTTGGTGGGCTCATGGTCCGTCTGACGCCGTCGGACGCCGTTTGGGGGGCCTCTATGGGCCGACTTGGGGCCCTCTTGGAATGCTCCAGCCATCTTGGGCGTCTTAAAGACCTCCTGTGCCGTCTTGGAGGCCTCTTGGGGCCGTCTTGGGGCCCTCTTGGGCCGTTCTGGGGCCATCTTGGAGGCCTCTTGTGCGATCCTTCGGCGATCTTTGGGGGCTCTTGGGCCGTCTCGGGCCGTCGGAAGGCCGAAAAGAAGCAAATGTAAAAATCCGTCAAAAATCAAGAAGGGAAAATCAAGGTTGTTGGCCTCTTCTGGCCTTCCTGGAGGCCATCTTCGGGGCCTCCTGAGCCGTCTTGGGCCAGCTTCGAGCCACCTTCGGCCATCTTGGTGGGTTTCTGGCACGTCTGACGCCGTCTGAGCCGTCTTGGGGGCCCTTTCTGGGCCGACTGGAGGCCCTCTTGGGGCGCTTCGGGGCCGTCTTGGATGCCATCTTGGGCGTCTTGGAGGCCATCTTGGGCGTGTTGGAGGCCTCTTGGGCCGTCTTGGGGCCCATGGGGCCCTCTTGGAGGCCTCTTGGGCGATCTTGGGGCGATCTTGGGAGCCTCTTGGGCCGTCTGGGGCCGTCGGAAAGCCGAAAAGGCGCAAATGCCAAAATCCTCCAAACACCTATGGAACATCAAGGATTTTGGCCTCGTCGGGCCTTCCTGGAGGAACTCTTGGAGGCCTCTTGGGCCGTCTTGGAGGCCTCTTGGGGGCCTCTTGGGCCGTCTTGGGCCATCTTCAGGCTATCTTAGGCCGTCTTGGGTGCATCTTGAGCCGTCTTGGAGGCTATTCGGGCCATCTCAGCCGTCTTGGAAGCCATCTTGGGCCATCTTGGGCCATCTTGGGGCCGTCTGGGGCAGGAACACCGTTTGCAACCACCTCTTCCGGGTGGCTGGCGGGACGGGCCGAAGCCCCAGGGGGAGTTCTTTTGGAAAGAGAACCAAAACCAAAAGCCATATAATTCGGCACGCCAGGCACCCCTTTGATACATCAAAAGGGGGCGGCGGATCGAAGACGCCTACGGCGAATCACCGCCGCCCCCTGCCTTTGTGGAAGCGCCTATGTGGCCGAACGTTGAGGCCAGACCTGCCAAGCTATCGGACCATGTGTTCCCCGAATCGGTTTGGAAAGCCTTCGGGGAACACGTGGGCATCTTGAAGGTCATCTTGGCCGTCTGGAGGCCATTTTGACCCTTTCGGGCCTTCTTGGAGGACGTCTTGGAAGGCTCTTGGGCCGTCTTGGAGGCCATCTTGAGCGTCTTGGAGACCTCTTGGGCCGTCTTGGGGGCCTCTTGGGGCCGTGTCTTGGGCCTCTTGGGCGATCTTTGGGGGCACTTGGGCCGTCTCGGGCCGTCGGCACCGTACGGAAAATCATTCTTTTTGCCGTTGTCGGGCCTTCCTGGAGGCCCTCTTGGAGGCCTCTTGGGCCGTCTCAGGCCAGCTGCGAGCCACCTTCGGCCATCGTGGTGGGCTCCTGACCCGTCTGGCGCCGTCGGAAGCCGTTTCGGGGGCCTTTCTGGGCCGACTTGGGGCCCTCTTGGGGTGCTCCAGGGCCGTCTTAGAGGCCATCTTGGGCGTCTTCGAGGCCTCTTGGGCCGTCTTGGCGCCCTCCCTCTTGGGGCCGTCTTGGGGGCCTCTTGGGCCGTCATGGGGCCCTCCTCTTGCGGGCCTTTTGGGCCGTCTTAGACCATATTGGGGCCATCTTGGGCCGTCTTGGATGCATCTTGGGGCCATCTTAGCCGTCTTGGAGGCCATCTTGGGCCGTCTTGGAGACGTCTTGGAGACCATCCTGGGCCATCTTGGCCGTCTTGGGCGCCATCTTGGGCCACCTGGAGGAAACAGAGGCACGACGGACGCGCTTTGAGGATTTTCCGGGTGGCCGGCGGGACGGGCCGAAGCCCCAGGGGGAATTCTTTTGGAAAGAGAACCAAAACCAAAACCGAGAGGGTCCAGCACGCCAGGCACCCCTGCGATGAATCGACAAAAAGCGACGGATCGAAGACGCCTACGGCGAATCACCGCCGCCCCCTGCCTTTTTGGAAGCGCCTATGTGGCCGAAGGTTGTGGCCGGAGGCCTGCCAAGCTATCGGACCATGTGTTCCCCGAAACGGTTTGGAAAGCCTTCGGGGAACACGTGGGCATCTTGAAGGTCATCTTGGCCGTCTGGAGGCCATTTTGATTCTTTCGGGCCTTCTATGAGGACGTCTTGGAGGGCTCTTGGGCCGTCTTGGAGGCTATCTTGAGCGTCTTGGAGACCTCTTGGGCCGTCTTGGGGGCCTCTTGGGGCCGTGTCTTGGGCCTCTTGGGCGATCTTTGTGGGCACTTGGCCGTCTCGGGCCGTCGGAAGGCCGAAAAAAAGCAAATGCCACAATCCTTCAAAAATCCATGAGAAATCAATGATTTTGGCTTTGTCGGGCCTTCCTGGAGGCCCTCTTGGAGGCCTCTTGGGCCGTCTTGGGCCATCTTAGGGCCATGTTCGGCCGTCTTGGTGGGCTCCTGGTCCGTCTGACGCCGTCGGAAGCCGTTTGGGGGGCCTCTATGGGCCGACTTGGGGCCCTCTTGGAATGCTCCGGGGCCGTCTTGGAGGCCATCTTGGGCGTCTTAAAGGCCTCCTGTGCCGTCTTGGGGGCCTCTTGGGACCCTCTTGGGGCCCAAATCGTTTCCCACAAATCATGTCTCTTGACTCTTGAAATGGTGCTTTCTGAACGGGGACCTGAAAGGCGCCCCTAAGGCCCTTCTGAAGGCCCCCCTGAGGGGCTCCCTGAAGGGCTTCCTGGAAGGAGCCCTGCAGGGAGGGCGTCCTGAAAGGTCCTCGGATGGGAGATCTGAAAGGTTCTCAAGGCCCCCCTGAACCCCCTGAAAGGGCCCCCTGAAAGGCCCCTTCTGGGAAGGGTCCTCTGAAGGGCCCTCTGAAGAGCGCCCTGAAGATCCCTGAGGAGTTCTAATTGTTCGCGCACCCCTTTCGTCCAGACTCCAGGGGGAGGCCGCCTGCCAGGAGGGGGGCAGGGGAAGAAGGTTTTTTTTTTTTTTTTGTTCGGAAGGGCTGGCTGGTTTTTGTTACCCTTGCTGGTGTGCGCGGTCCTCCGCTCCCCATCTCATCTTTCGTTTGTCTCCAGATGCCTAGGCATGTGTCCGGCGCAGGGTGTGCGTGATCAGCACCATGACG